ATTGGATAGTCAACATGTCGAAAGAAAAAATTCACAAGCAAATCTTTAATAAAATAATCTTAAAACATAATTCAGAAACCAGATATCTTGTGTATGAAATCCTTGTAATGTTTACTAATAATCAGCAAAATTTTGTAAACACTTGTATACATTGTCAAAAATTATAGTAACATTTCTCTCATAGATACTTTCCTGGTTACAAATGGAATGGTTAAGCAATATTCCTCAACCTGAACAGTTAATAGATGGAAACAAAGTTGAACAAGATGATCACATTAATTCTGAGCTTGTTAAGAAAAAATTGGAAAGTTTAAAATATGATAAAGCACCTGGGCCAAATAATGTTTACTGAAGGTTTTGAAAGAAGTTAAGGGTTGGTTATGTGAGCCATTTGCTATTAATTTTTTGTAAGTCCTTGAATAGTGGGCAGGTGCCAGAAGATTGGAAGTTGGCTATGTTACTCCTCATTTCAATGGAGGTAATAAAAAGTTTTCCAAGTAATTATAGGCCTATCAGTCTTACATTAGTGGTGGGAAAAGTTTTTGAAAGTCATGAAAGATGCTTTGCAAAGACATTTAACAAAGTTTAAAATTTTGTTGGTTAGTCAGCATGGTTTCACAAGGAGTAAGTATAACTATACAATCTTTTGATTTTCTTTGAAAGGGTTACTAATTATGTAGATGAGGGTAAAGGAGTAGATTTGGCATATCTGGATTTTCAGAAAGCACATGACAAGGAGCCTCCTGAAATGTTTATTATAAGAGCTATCTCTTTAGATATGGGGGGATAGGTTGGCTCATTGGATAGCAACCTGACTAGATGAAAGAAAGCAGAGACTTGTTATAAATGTAGTTCATTCAAACTGGACTAATGTCACAAGTGGGATACCTCAGGGCTATGACCTTTGTTCTTTTTTATTTACATCAATGACATAGGTGAAGGAATGCTCAGTAGATTATTTAAATTTGCTGATGACATTAAAGTTTTGGGCATTGCTGGCTGTGAGGAGGATGCTACTGCCTTACAAAAGGATTTGGATTATTTGATGAATTGGGCATACAAATGGGAGATGATTTTTAGTTACTATAAATGCAAGGTAATGCATGTGGCATATGACAGCTTGTATTATTATTTTTTAATGGGAATAACCATAAGTGTTATGGAAGAAAAAAAAATCTTGGTGTTCTGGTTGATCAGTCTCTTAAGCCATCCAAGCAATGTGCTGTTGTTAATGTCAGGGCAAATAGGTTTTTAAGTTGTATATACAGAAATAATGAATGCAAGTCTAAAGAGGTTATATTGCCATTGTATAAATT